CCCACTTCACCCAGCTATTACCCTTCTGGGTTTCTTCACAGAAGAATTAAAAACATCATACCACAGTAATATATGTGCACCCATGTTTGTAGCAGCACAATTGGTCATAGCTAAACTTTGGGAAACAACCCAAATGCCTATCAACTAAGGAATGGATAAAAAGATGTGGTATTTTTATACAACGGAGTATTACTCAGCTATAGAAAAGGTAAACTAGTATTTTATAGGTAAGTGTAAATGTATTTTATTTTTTATTGGTTTTATTTTCCAGTACCTTAAATTGAACTCACGACATTGTGCTTTCCAGGCAAGCACTGTGCCACTGAGCTACATCCCCAGCCCCCTGTAAATGTATTTTAAATGTAGCAAATAAATGATAATTTCCATAAAGTTAGGAGGAAACAATTTAATAAAGATTAATGCTGTCTTGACCAGGTTGGTTTTAATATACTATAAACTGAGGCATTAATTTTCAAATTCATTTTAAATAGTAGTCGTGCAACTCTTTTAACATATTTTTACTCAAATCGTATCTTTTTCTCAAGGAGCAAATTTATACTATGTCCCTATGCTTGCCCTGGGTTCCTGCAAAGGAAGGAACTCCTCAAAATCTCAGCTTCCCATTCCCTGTGTTTCCATCCGTGTTGATGACTGTGGGTGTGCCTATGGTTTTGAAAATTACAGTCAGTCATTTACACAAACTGCCTTGTGACAGTGTGAGCTTTTGTCATCAATGTGGTAAACAAAGGCCACAAAAGGGAGAAACTAACAGTGGGCCCTTGAATTAATTAGCTACTGACATAGTCCAGCTGAGAACAGACAAAATCATGAACTAGCACAGTATCAGTGGCAACAGAAAAGAGGACAGTTACACAAGCTTCTTCAGAAGCATAAGTGCCTTCGTGATTCATTAGAAGTGGGAGGCAGAGACATGACTCTGAGTGTTCATGCCTGGCTCGCTGGGGCAATGGTGGTGCTTTTGCCAGATAGAACAGTCAGGGAAAAATGATGGCTTCAAGGAGAAACTATAAATCTAGAATGTGTTCTGATGTATTGACTCTGAATTAAAGTAATCCTTAAATCTTATTGATCTAACACCAAGGGAATATTTTCCAAAGTGTCACACACAATAAAACTAGCAGTAACGAAGATGATTCAGGTGGTGGATGAAAGGGATATCAAATAGCCTTTAATTACATACTAAGCAAATATATTCCTGTGAAGTGTTCCCTCTATCCTGTTTACATTAAGTAAAATGTTCTATTTTGTTAATAGTTATGTTATACTATATCTCTGATAGCTCTCTTTTTTTCCTCTTTCACTTTTTCAATACCCTCAGAGTCTGGAGCACCCAACTATATGCACTTGCAATTTAAGAACATTTGTTTAATTTTAAATTACATTTTATATCAATTTCTATTTATATCCATCGGTTTTGGTTTTTCAAATGGCCTAATACTAGGAAAAAATAGTCATCATACTAAAAACAGTAAATCAATTAAAAGAAACAAATTACGAAGTGTAGGGAACCAGACTGACCTGATCACAGCCTTGATTTGTAACTGCAGTGATTACTCCCAGAGTTACCCTAGTCTCTCTTCCCTGAACGATTTCCCACACTACATAAATAAAAACACCAACAGAGTAGTAGAAGACCTTTACTATCAGATCTGAAACCACTCATTGTGAAACCACTATGCCCAACACCCTTGATGTTAGCTTGAGATAAACCAGGTACATTATTGCTTGCATACAAGTTACTTTTTGTGCTGAGCATTAAATAATCTCTCTCTTTGACCCAAATCACCAGGATATCCTAGTCCTGATGCTGGGCTTGACCAAGATTCTGTAAGTGAGTCTTCAGAAATTACACTCTGCTGTTCTATATCTGTCCAAGTCTTTCTTTGGTCTCAGGGCACTTTGGGTTGGTTCTTGTACACCATATTTTCTTGGAGCATTAAGGAACTAGCAGCATATTCACGCATAAGATACAATAAAGTCAAATGAGTGAAGGTTAGAAATAGCTGATGCTCTTACACCAGGGAGACAATATGATGTTTACACATGTGGGCCCGATTTATTTCAATTACGAGTATGGTCTCTAAATCCAAAATGTACAATAGATAATAAGAAAGGTAAAGAAATTACTCAAAGGAAGGAACAACTGGGATGAGGGAAAGAAGAAAAAGAAAGTACTAAGGCATTTTATATATTCTGGATCAGTGGCATAACTGTACTGTTGGTGTCTGATGGTTTGGTGAGGGGAACAGTTAATGTTTAAAAGGTTTTTTTTTTTTTAATATTTTGACCAATTTTGCATGTTTGTATCTGGCAATCTGAGCAACTTATGTGACGACAACAATTTGCTGTGTAATATCCATTGGTGAATTTCTACAGTCATAGTGACACTATGTATTGTCTCTAATGTTCTTTAAATTATTATTTCCTTATTCCCTTTAATGATTTGATCAATCTTCTATTCTTAAATCTGGTAATCTGAGCAACTGCATTGAAGATAACAATATGTAATATAATAACCAGTGTTAATCTCTATTTGGTTTGAAACCCTGTAGCATTTTTAATGTCCTTGCTTTGTGTTGTCTGTATTTTGCTATTGTTCTTTTTTTGTACTATTTTCTTTAAAATAAAAAAAGTAAAAAAAAATAAAATAAAATAAACAGCTGATGTATTTTAGGCAGTATTCCTGTCCAGTCACAGTAGAGGTGACGTGAAGGAGATTGGTTTATAGTAAGTCTGTAAGAAAGCTAATTTATAGTAATGGCTAAATTTCCAAAGGATTGTAATTTGAACTTCTGATAATTTCCCAAGAAAATATGTCAATAAAATTTCTTGCAGGTATTAACTACTTATGAGGTTTTGATCCAAAGATAAGAATTTCATCAGAAATCAAGCAAGATATCAGATTAGAATTTCCAGTCAATACAAAATCAGCTGTCACAAAAATCAAACTGCCTCTCTGATACTCATACTAGCTTTCAGTTTAGCCCTTTCTCTGCATGGAGGGAACTGAAATAATGCTTCTCACAAAATACAAAGACCAAGACCAAATGTGAAGCCTAAACATCATAAGAAAATTCACAAAGGAGGGTGAGTTCTATTAATTGATACTACTCAAATCACATCTGGTATTTCTTGCAATAGAATTTTGCTGTGAGTTCCTTAGGAAGATTAATAGCTTTGTGATACCTTGGTAATTCTCTTTCTAACACTTAAAGTAAGTGGAGGGTTTTCTCCTGGAAGTATCTCTTAACAGTTAGTAAATGTTCTCGATCATTCTCCATATGAACATTGAACCAGGAGTAAGATCAAGTCATTTTATACAAAATTCAACCCTTCCCTACTGACACTTGGCCTTAATGCAATTCTGGGATCAAAATGACAGCACAAAAAAAAATCTACAAGTCATAAGTTTGTGTGTTCTGTTTTAGGGTACAGGAATAATTATAGAAATGTGAATATACAGAACACTGTATTGCCCAATTCCTCATTCTGTAAGCATAAAAAGCTAGATTATTTATATATATAAGTTCTTCTTTCACAATTAGACCTCAGTTTTAAAGCAACCCTGAATTTTTTTTCCCTGAATCAAATGAGAGATTCTCCTAGTATTTGATAGTCAGGACTTCTTGTGTACAAGGAAAGAGAAGGCCACTTTTTCCAAATATATTTAAGTATTTCTTTGACCTTTTTGCTAAATGAGACAGACTTTGGAAGAAGTTGTGAATGCTAAAAACAGTGGTAGAGCCAGATAACTCCATAATACAGAGAGTGATGATTTTGAAGGCAGAATCTTAAATTATCATCTTTGTGTAGGCCCTTAATTTGCTTTTCTGTGTAGAATATATCAAACCCTATTCCAACATTATTCAGTGCAAAAATATGCCCTATAAATTCTAGAAAAAAATGAATATGTTTGAGTAAACGCACAGAAATCTACTTGGCTTGTCAAAATCTATTTCAAATGACAAATCTTAATAGATAATAAGCTGACAGCATAGTGTTTACATTTTAAATTGGGACATACTTAAACTTATATACTTTAAAAGGATTAGTTGGAGTAATCTGCATAGAATATATGCTCAGCATTGTAGAGAGTTCAAACTAGACCTACATGAGATAGAGCTGGTCAAGAAATTTGTCTAACTTTTCTACATGAGATGTTAATTAAATCAAATAGTACTATGAAAATAATAAGAAACCACATGATTTCAAATAAATAATGACTTTTTGCTGCATTGAAAAAATCTAAAGTCTTGAACACATTATGCCTCATACACATGTGATAATTATAACCAATTTAGTATTAGTGAGAGCTTCCATTGACTGAGTGTCAATCATGTGGCAGAGGTTATTCTAAGTATTTTATTTTTTAAAAAATATAAGCAGAATACTTGTGAGAAGTTCCTTTTATCCATTTTGCATAGTTGCAAAAGCAGATCCCTCAACAATTCAATAAGTTTTTCCAGTATTTATAGCTGAATCCTAATGATGGAGTAAAGACTTGAACTCAACCCTGTCCAATTCCCAGATCATGGTCTCATCCATTAATAGAGGCAATTTGAAATAGTACATTACTGAAAGGAGACAGAGTTTATACTGATAACAGTCATTTATCTGCATTTGCAGTGTGTATATTATCTTTGATTATGATAAATGCTATTTCAACACATTAGAAAAGTATTCCCTAAAAGAAACAATAAATTTGCACATAATAAATGTTTCCTTTTGAAAAAATAATGCCCATTAATATTTTACTTAAAAATCAGCAGATAATTTCTTAATCAAATTTGTTTCAAATTGGTAGAATACATTCTTATTTATCTGTTCTACTAGAATAATTATATTTTTCTCTAGGAAATTAAAAGACTTCATTAAGTTTCTGAATAGCATTTATAGACAAACAAAAAGTTCTTGGAATAACACATACCAAAATTGGAAGTCTGGTGGGTCACTTAAAATTTATGTCAAGTGCATCTTACCAGAAGTTGTCTTGACTACTTCAGTGGTATTTCTCAGTCCAACAAATGAAAATTGGTAGAGCCTCCAAGACCTCGTGTCCCCCACTTCAACAGAACTACGCTTCCACTGATAGACAATTTCTTCACGTGGATAACCATCTACAAAGAGGTGGAAAAGCTCACATTACAAACAATAATAGATGAATATATGTAGCAACCACCTTCTACTTGCAAGACATTGAGGGAGCTAACAAGAGTATCATAAGTCAGATGAGAATTCTGCACTAAGAGTTACTGATTACAGTAGCTAAGATGACTATAATAGCATCATGTGTTAACATAGAGTAAGATTCAAAAATTAGAATGCCAAAATTACCCTGAAAAATTAGATTGCATAAAAGGTATTCTGTACATAATTTCCTATATGCTATATCCACATTTTATATCATCTGAGATAATGTATATGTGACTAGTATAAGCTAACAAGTAAGTAAGCAATGTATTAATTTGTTGTGAAGGGCAGTCAATGGGAAGATTCTGAGAATCATGTTTAAGTAAAAACTAGAGAAAAATAGGACAGTGAAGTCCTCTAGCGTGAAAACTACTTGGGAAAAATTTCAAATCTTTCCATTATTATCTCTGCATTTGATGATTAAGCTAATTTAATGTGTATGTATACTCAAAGCAATAAGCAGGAATGGCAAAGAGAAAATATTAGTTATCTTGATACCAAGACAAGAGAAAGTCTTCATGAAAAAGGGGTTATGTAATTATCCATGAAAGGTGGGATACTGTAATGATTCTGAGGACAATCTTCTAAGTCAAAGTATCCTGGGAAAATTTCTTAATTTTTTTCTAACTTGTTGCTACTTAAGCATGATAATACTACTTAACGGGCAGAATATATTTCCTGAATGGGAAACATTATTAAGCTACATGTGGAATAAACATTCTCAAATACAAATAAATCAACTAACTATTTATTCTTTGATAATGCCACATAAAGATAACACTTCATTACACAGTATGATTCATGACTTATAGTAAAATCTCATATGTTTACTTCTTTCTGTATCTTTTCACTCTTGATTTCATTCTTTGTCTATTATGTTCAGGTAAATGGCAACAAAAATGTTGCTTAGAGACTTCTTGGTGATGTATGCAGTAGAATGGATTGAAAATTGGGGAATATAACAATTAAATTAAGAATTTTCTGTGGAGAAAAACCCTGTGAGTGATTTTTTTGTAGCAATAAGTAATATTACATTGGACTTAGGATCAGAGCAAGTCATCTGTAAACCGAAGGCACAGAAATTACCAGTTCTTGAGATTTTGATTACTCAGGATAGACGTAGTCCTATTTAGAAAATCAAAACCTAAGAGTTTATTTCTTTAAAGGTCATGGAAATGTTAAATTTATAATTAAATATGTTCTATTCTTGGATAAAGCAAAATAAGAAAATTTTTTTATAGTGAGAATTTTTATAAATATATGTGATATATACATATTTTTTCTTCTGATTCCCACTGGCATCTATGTAATGATGAGTAAGTGATTGCTTCTCTGGTCATTCAATTTAATTTTTAATTATAGTACAAATTTAGTTGTTCCTAAGAGCCTTTCTAAATATCTGGCTGAAAAATTATATTTGTAAACATATATTTAGTGTATAAATTTTTGTAGTTGATTTTTGTTTGTAATTGAAATTACAAACAAAGATTACAAGTGAGAGGGAATAAAAAATGCAAAAGGAATATTACTTACAACTGGAGAACTCCAGGGGACAAGAGTGTTCGTCCATTGGGAAATTGTGCAGCTGTAATTGGCACTCAGCATCAATTGTCAACCTAAGTAGAAAGATGTTAAAAATAAATAGAAAGATTGCAAGTGTAATTTTTAAAAGTACATTCCCAGAAATTCTAGAGTATAATTTCACATTCAGTTTGGATAACACAAAATGATGCTTACTGAAAAAATTCATCATATTAAGTAAAAATTAAGATTAAATGGAAGCCAGTCATGGTGGAACATGCATGCCTCCAGCACTTGGGAAACTGAGGCAGGATGATTACAATGAGTTTGAGGTCAACCTGAGCTGCACAGTGAGTCTAAGTCCAGCCTGCAGTATGGAGAGATCTGTTTTGGTTTATGTACTTATTTTTTGTTGTTGTTGTTGGGGAGGAGAAAACTAAATAAAGACTATGAATTTTTCCAGACCAAACAATAATAATTCCATTTATTCAAAATCTATATTGTTTGTTTTCTTAAAAATTAATTGCACAATAAGATTATTCAGTGAATATATTTCATTTAACAAACTTAAGAATTTAAACTTATTTATTGTTTGCAAATAAATAAATGCTGACAACCCTCAGATCTTATCTGCTAATTAAATCAGGACTTTCTAATTGTAAAGATTTGTTATTTGTCAGCTTTATATTTCTACAAGTTTAAAAATGCAAATGTTCCACAATAGAGCTTATATAGTTTTAGAATCTAACACTCTGAAATCATTAAATAGTATGTTACAGAGTAGAGATATCTATAGCAACAAAGACCTGTTGTGTACACATTCACAGGTATATTAGAGAAATGTTTACCAATGAGTCTTTGTCTAGTCTCTCTCTCTCTGTCTGTCTGTCTGTCTCTCTCTCTCTCTCTTTATATACATATAAAGAGAGAGAGAGAGAGAGAATCTGAAGTCCTGGGCTAAGATTGTAGGAGGGGAAATAAGGGCATCCAGATTTCACCTTTGGAGAAATGTGGATATAATACCATATTGTAATGGTAATGCGTTGAAATTTTTAAAAATTTTATATTAGTAGTTCTATTTCCCTACAAAATATAGATATCACTATTCAAGTGATGAAAATATTTTTGTAAAATTTTACTTTAAAAGATTTTTCAATTAACATGACTTTTAATTGAGGAGATTTTCTGTTCTACAACAGGATAATAATTGAACTTGGAATGTATCTATAATTGCCTATGCAGATGTGGATAAGGTGAATTGTTTCCTCAATTTGTAAATGCTATTATGATTTTATTGTACTTAAACTTCTTCAAATCCACATAACTATTGAGATGGACCTAGGTTTAGTTGTCTTGAAAATTAGAAGTTTTAATCATTGTCCCTTCATAACTACATGACTTTAAAGGTTAGTTTTATTTACGAATGAAATAACAATTAAATTTTATATTTATTAGTATTATCTCTTCAAATTAAACTGGAATTTTAAAAATTGGATGTAATATAGATAAAATGCATATACAAACATAGATACAGACATATATCTGTGCATACATCCGTGAACACGCATACACACACATACACTGCTCATTATAGATAATCAACCTGAGTAAAATCTGTCAATATAGAATGACAATGATTCAAATCTTAACTGAATCTCATGAAAGACACATTTTAGGTGGTTCCTATAATTAAATATTGTAGTGATTCCTCACACTAATAGAAGTAAAAAATGACTACAATTTTATGGGAATAATAAAAGTGCTTAAGGTACAGTGACTGAGTTGATATTTCAAAAGCTAGAATGAGATATGCTTTATCAGACAAATTTTGATTTCCAGTAGTTTCTTATTCTAGTTATTACCCTATCTCTAATTTAATAAAACCCTTAATGAACACAAAATAGATGCAGTGAAGTTCTTTTGTAATTGTGGTCACTTTTTTCCAACAGCTAATGTAATTCTGATAAAAGATTTGGGGACATTGTGCAGTGTTGTATTTTGTATGCTGAGCATTGTGTAAGGCACAGAGTTCATGCCACATGTGTGCATAGCATGAATAATTTGCAATCTAGAAGTTCTAGGACACTAAGATGTAGAAAAATAATATTCAATTTTTTACTGAAAATCTATACAAATGATTTTAATATCTGCTATATTTTCTATGCATCAGGGTCTACATTAAGCATTTTATGTATTACCTCATTTCATTTTTTAATAATTCAGAAAGGTAAGAATGATTATCTACATTTTATAGAAATTAAGTAATGAAAGGTAAAAGAGTTTGCTCAGTTGTAGTGGAAAAGGACGGGGAAATGCACTGAGGCATGGTGATACTGTCTTTCCTAAAAATATATAAGTTCTCACTTAATTCATCTAAATAAAAGCTGTGATCAAGTAAATCATCCTGCTTACTATGCAAGCAAAGCTTCAAGATGAGATGTCTCCTAGAACCAAGAATCTATTATGTATTGCTTCTCCTTAGTCTCTGTCAAAAGAAGTTCTGGAAAGTTGCCCTACTTCACAGAGATAGTAAAATAGAGAGCAAAGAGCCATAGCCAGATTGGTCTGATCCCTAAGTATATTTACTTATCTATTTTGCTATTTGATAATATACTGTCTCCAACAGGAAATCTCAATGCACGAGTATTTTACATGCATGTGAATAAGAAGTTGGCTAAAATAATGCCATAAAATAATTTAAATAATTTTTCCAATCTTACTTAATATGTAAATTCAGAGGATATAGCTCCCATCAACTTTCCCCAAAGGATGATTATCTCCAAATATAAATAAATTCATTCACACAGCCTGTTAATGTCATGGGGATTGAGGTGTCTGGAGATGGAAGGTAATGCCTGGGTTTCTGTCATTGTGTAGTCAAAAAGAGAAGACCGTGTGGAGACTTTTACATTACAGTTTCTTGCTTAGTGATGGTTTCCTCAGAAATGACAACATCTCCACATATGAGAACTGGTGGTCCGCCCATTTCAGTTTCCATCGTCTAATGCCACAGGACACATAGCCCAAAGCCATGATTGGCACAAAGGTCAGGTGATCTCACAAAGGCGAGCGAAATTTCATGTCAGTGGTGGGAAAACAACCTTTCACTTCATATTTATCATGGATCAACAGTTCTACCCATGTTTATGCGCTGTGTGCCCTGAAAAATCTCACTGATAATGGAAAGAAGTAATTTTTCTTTTCTTTTTTTTTTTTTTTAAGGATAAAAGGAGGGAAACATTAACAGACATACAACATTTTACAACATATCACAAGCACAATACAGACAATACAGAGTTCCAAACAAAGTGGTAGGGAATTAACAATGGTGGTTGTATTACATATTGATATCTTCAAAGTGGCTTCTCATGAAAACAGATATAGACATGCAATACTGGTCAACCAAAGACTCATTGACAGTTTCTTTCAGCATAGAAACAGCAGATAGAAGAACAACCATGTTATCTATCCTGTATATACATACATACAAAATTTCTCCTGGAAAGAAGTAATTTTTCAATGTCACTTGGTATCTTAATCGAGCATGCGAAGACTGATTTCGGCTTGGAATTTCCTTCTTCATTTTTCTTGGGGTGTTTTGTTTTGTTTTGTTTTGTTTTGTTCTTAAAGGAAGAATGGTGCATTTTTTGTTCTATTGACATCAATTACACTTTTCTTTTCCCACGAGAATACCTTAGAGTGTAGAGCACGCGGCCATCATTCCAAATTCTCAGCATCCTGTTGGGAGTGGTTATCCAGTGGGCATCAGCCTTTTTGGAGTTTCTGAAGAAAGTGTCTGGAATCCAGATTTTCCCAACCATATTGCTATTCAGTCGGAGGACTTTAATGGTGCTGTTAAATTTCAAACGTCTGTCATACCATGTTTGAGCAAAAAATATATCAATAGTGTATTCCTGTTTTAAAGAAAAATATAAAACAGAACATTTTTAATACAATAAGAATGTATTGGAGAGTGTTTGAGTATCTCATTCTTGCGTAATTGTCAGTATGAGGCAAAGCTACTTTGGCTTTGAATAATACATAAGAAAGAACTACCTCAGTTGATTAAGCTATTGCTTCATTCAATTTGTAAACCAGAGTGATACTTTTATGAAAAACTAAAATTGTTTCCATGGATTCTGACCAAGGATCATAGCTCAGACACAGTCCTTTAGTTTCCACACCTATGGAACATTTTGTAATAATATTTTGAACTGGCTAAATGTTTGCTGTAGAGATCTGCCCTGTGTACTGTAGAATGTTTAGCTGCCTCCTTGCCTTCTACATCCAAAATGTCAGTAGCAACCCCTCTACCCAACCCCACTCCTGCCAGGCTGTAAAACTAAAATTACCTTGGACATTACCAAAAACATCCTAGGAACAGAATTTGCTGTGTTCAGAAGCACTGTTATAGAGTGAAGCAAGGACTAGAAAACTAAAAATAAATAAGTAAATAAATAAATAAATAAATAAATAAATAAAAAAACAAGCACATAACTAAGCTCTAGGAGTGGAGGTCCAGTGCCCTAAATAAACTGGAGATGGTAAGGAATGTAGCAGGTCAGATAATATGAAGTTGAAAAAGAGGAAAACACGTAAAGTGCTTTACATTATACTAGCAAGATAGTATACAACCAATAAAAAAATCCTCATTTTCTTACTATTTATTATTGCTACATTTCCTTCCTCCAAACAAGATGTAATTAACCAATTAAAAATATTTTTCATACCTCACACATCTGTACCGGAAAATATATTCTTAAATAGCTTGATGACAACTGGCTAGGACAGTTTCTCTCAAGTATATATCACTAAACTAGACAGTGGTTGACCAGCCAAAGCAAAGCAAGTCTAAACTGAAATTCACATCATTGCAGATAGAGTTATAACATGAGTTCTGGTGTGACCATCCTAGGTACAGATATTCCTTGAGGAAAAACACCTTTACTCTCTGGCCTCATTTTCCTCATCTTTACAAGTGAAGAATGAACACAAATACATGCTTAGGTTCCCTCCACGTATAAAACTAAGTCTTTTTGCTTCTCAGCTTCATTATTATCATTATCATGGTCCTAATTGCCATTCAATAGCCTAGTATCATTTTATTCTTGTTGTTATAAATCAAGTGCTTATTTGTGTCAGTTCTCTGGCTAAACACTTCACATGTCACTTAATAAACCACTTTATGGAACAATAAAAGCAAAGGAAAAACTATTATAATAAACAGTTGGTTCAATGACTTTATATTTTCATGATTCCCAATTGCCCTAAGTACATCTTGTATTATTTTATAACTTGACTTTAATCATGTCTATAAATGGCAGAATTGGAGTAAATAAAAGCAACTCACTCATTAAAATATAAGAACTGAGGGGGAAAGGCCATCCACATGTCTTAGTCTAGTTCCCTACACTCCATTTCATGTTGAAAAATATGATGAACCGTGGAAATTCTTGATGTGTGCAAGAATATTCAGATTGCTGGATCTGGTGATTTATCTCACCCACACTGTTATCTCACCCACACAGACCCACAGTCTGTCTCGGTGCCACCTGCCTGCATCTCCATTATGGGAAAATGGGCCTCCTTTTTTCACCAGTTAGTTCCCCATTTAAAGTCTATGAGTAGTGAAAAAGAAACATATTCTTTGAAATCTTTTGTCAACTAATTGGTGATGTGCAAGGAGGTAAAAGAATTTTATATATATATATATATATATATATATATACATAAACTGTTTTATAAATAAACTTTCATTTACATATAAATAAACTTTTCCATATATATATATATATAAAATCCCTACAAAAATAAACAAATTAAAATATCTGAGGACCAAAATCCAGTGTCTTACACAAACAATGATGCTGAGATAGTTCTGAGAACTACTATTCCTAAAGCAGACTTGTTCAATATTTCAACTAACAACCTATAAGAATAAAGTTAGACCGAAATATCTACATGTTCTCATTAAATATTTGCAGTTCATATTAGAATACTACAGATTCTGAGAACTTTAACTAGAAAGATATAAAAGTTAGACTTAACACTTAATGGTTAAATAATCTTATTTTTGTGGATTATACAGTAGGTGTATTTTTATTACCATAATTGTGAAAAATTAAAGTTTTTTTATTCCTCCATGTCTTAACAAGTATCTCTATTGCTAGCTTAGTAAGCACTACTTTTAAATTATAGCATCACTATATCTATCACATTATTATATCAGTTAATACACAATACTAATATTTATGTTACATTATGTTCTATTTTTCCCCTCTTTCTTTTACTACATTATATGATGGACTGATTGTAGTTTCTCATTTCAGATTTCAGTATGAACTGCTAGATATAAGAATGAAGTTGCACGTATTATTACAACTAACGCACTATTTCCTTTGAGAAATATTTCTTATTTGAAGCAAACTATGCTACCCCACAGTATAAATATTCTATAAATAAGTGGAATATTATGTTTTATTTTGTTATTATTAGCACTGACAAGTACACTTATTGTTACATTTCAATAATATAGCATACTTACACAGATAAATTTTACACGTGATCACGTTTAATTCGTAGAACAAAAAATGCTCAAACGTTAATGATTTTTAATTTACAAGAGAACAAATGGATCTAAAAATTGGTTTTCTGTTCCAAAATCCTAAACCTAATTTTTGTTATTATGCTTCTTGCTATTTCCATGCTTATAAAATAGAAATTTTATTATGAAACTCACCATATTGATAGCATTCACTGGACCAATGCTATTCACATACATGTCTGTGTGAATTAATGTTGGTTTCACTGTAAAAAGAACCATAAACACATTTGCACGTGGAGAGGCACAATATTATATTCTGTTAGTCTATAGCTTCATGGACTTATTTAACTAAATTAGTACTGATTTATTTGTAACTAGTTCCACACTAGTAACTAATTCACTACATTTGAGTAATAATTATATTTTCAAAGAAATATCTCCTTTTAAGCATATAATTATAAGAAGCATAGTAGCATCTTGAAACTGATTATACTTTATAAACTAAGATGAAGAAATTAGAATACTGGTCTCAGCTTTTGTTCATACTTCTCTCATATTTTGAACTTCACCATTTTTCCTTCAGGATCGGGAATCTATTTGCATATTTTAACCTGACTTGACCCAAATAGAGAAAAAGAAACACTTCACTACTTAGGAAAACCTGTACATTAGAAATATGAAGTGGATACAACATAAAGTAGCATGAATTGTTTCTGAAATATCGCTCCCTACTGATTTTTTTATGACCATTTTACCGTTAGTGTTTACCCAGCACACTCTCCACCTTGCTCCATGGCTTCTTAGATGATATGGCTACATAGATAATATGAGGAAGGCTTATGGAAGCCCATTATATACCTATTTGTTAGACAGGACTATTATTAAAATTCTGTAGAACAACATTCATGAACAAATGCATGCACTCCACTTTCATTTGACAATTAATAAATAGAGATTCATTATATTTTCCTGGATCTAAATCCAACTATTGCATTTTCCCTCACTTTTTTCACTTCCCTTAAAAGTACTGTGCCTAAAACCGCTTGTGATACAACGGATTCTTCATGAATACCAACACCTACACCCTTAGCTTTATCTCAGTGAGGATGTTCTTCTGCCCCTGGATATTGGGCTTCCCTGGACTTGCTTTGGCTAATAACACATGTAGAAGAGTGAGTATACTAATGCTAAATCTACGCATTAAAACTTAGTTGTTTCTATTTTCTGTTTCATTATCCTCTGTTGCCATGAACGATGCCTCTAGTTAGTGTGATGTTTCTAGAAGGAGAACGAGACCTATTTGGAATGTTCCTCCTCTAAGTGAGCAGCTCCAGTTCTGCTTAGCTTACATTAGCTCAGCCCCAATCAAGTGAATATTTACATAAGTACATGCTCAGTGTTGTATGTCCCTGACATTTTGTGGTTGATTGCTTATTATGCAGCAATAGGTAGCCTTTCTATTTTCTGTTTGTACTTTTGAAGTTGCTTCATAAAATTTCTCTTGCCTTTGTCTGGGATATCTAAGGAAATTTTAAGTTTTAGCTCTCAAGTTTCACTTGAAAATCATATTTTTTTTCATGTTGGATTTAGCAACACCAATTCTACCTCCCAGCTGGAAAGCTTTTTATATACACTTCATTTATGTTATAAAGTACAAATCTAATTTAAATTCTGCTAGCTCTAGAACTATGCAAATATTTTCTAACGAGGTTGATAAGCTAGACACATGTACGTGTTCCTCCCTATATCACAGCACGAATGCTCTAGCATACCTCCAATATCAGGTCGAAGTTTATTGTCATATCCTTCCAGCAAGTTGTTTAAAATGACAGTGACATCCCCCTCAGGGACTTTTGGTGTCAAGACCCATGTTTTGTTAGAAGCATAATCTTCATAGTCATCATCAGACTTTTGGCTAGTGAAGCTAAAAAAAGAAAAATATTGACCAAGAAACATACACATTACATCAAGTTCTCTTGTACCACATCACACTGGAGGAAAACGAAAAATTGAGTAAGAGTACAGGAACATGTGAAACAGCAAACAGCTTCACCTGGTGATTAGTATAACTAATTAAATTGAACAGATGATGATTAAAATATATTAATATATCCTTGCCAATTTTTCAGAGTGTTCTGCCCTTGTATCTATAAATATATCATGTATCATTATTTACTTTTGCCTTTTTCATATTTGATGTTTTTCGTACCCACTTTCCCAGGCTCATAAAGGTCCTGTAAAAGTACTTTTGGTGAATACAATGCTTCAATGATCAGGAAATAGTCTAAGGATTGAAGCAGAATGTCTTCTTATTCTTGCTCCAACCTATTAATGAAAATAAGAGAGTGATGATTAGATTCACTCCCACAAACAGCCAGACTCGCTCCTCACCCCTCAGTTGAACCGCTGAGAAGGACTCCATCTTGCTCCCTTTTCTTCCACTGGGCTATGTGTATTTGTGTTTTTCCCTTTTCTTGCACAGAAGGTGAGACTGGTTCATTTCTCCTTCATTGTTAAGAACTCCATACCATGGAGAAAAATGTGGCTGCAGATATTAAACCACCCTTTATTTCATTGAAGGCTCCTAAGCTACAATTGCATCCAAATGATGTGCTACCATCCTATAAACAAAATCATTTATTTTGACTCATCAAAGAGTCACATAATGTTCTAGAATTCAGTCTCATATGCCCAAACCTGCCAAAGTTTTCTCCATCCACCAATTTGCATGGAAGCTGCTTAAGGGTGAATACGGAAGATAAGTAGAACTCTTAGCAGCTTACTCCTTCTCGTACCCCCAGTTTCCACCTCCATCACCTCCTCAGCATGGGAAGGTTGTATTTTCCTGATCTAGGGACAATACAAATTCCTGCAGAAGCTGCCATTTTAAAATTTGTATCACTGGTCAGTTAATCTGTGGTTCAGCATGACATTCTTTTAAAGTATGAATTTAAAATATAATGTTTCCTACCCCATAATCAACTTCAGTTTATTTCCTAAATATATAACATATATTCTCAAATCAAATTTTATCTTTCTTCAGTCACTTAAATATTTATATAGCCATAGTTTAAATTATATAAACATATAAATATAGCTTCAATGTGTATGTTTATACATGTGTGCACTAATGTGTTTATGTGTGTAAATATCACAGAAGAATGGAAATTATATATGTAATGTGACTTGATAAAATGGATGGAAAATGAAGTTTTAAGAGTTATCATTGGTGTGGATAAATCAGGAAGCAAATACAACAGCCTCCACTTTTATTGTTTTTTTCTGTTGCTGTTGTTTTGTTTTTTGAGACAGGGTCTTGTGCTTTATAGTTCAGGCTGGCCTTCAATTCACTATGTAGCCCAGGCCGGCCTTGAAATCGCAGCAATCCTCTGGCCTCAATGTCCCACATACTGGGATTACAGACATGCGCCACCATTCCTGGCTCTACTTTCATTAGCTTTTAAGTTTTAGGAAACGCTATACAAATACATTTACAAAATCTACTATAACTAGTGTCTTACATCATGCATTTCAGCAAGCATAGGTACTTCAAATAAGCATTAATTTCATAGTGTCTGTAGCGAGAAGAACAGGCTGGGCAATGCTTCAATCTGCTCTCAAGGAGAACATCTCTTTTCAGGAATAGAGACTAATTCTGTCTAGAAGAATCCCTCTAGGACCTTAATTCATCTTTTCTCCAGAGCACTGCTAAAGTGTGCCTAATAGAGCTTTAATTCTATGACCCAAATCTTACTAGTTTAAGGAAGAAAATGCTGTATTGCAAAGAAATTTTCAAATTCTCTAATTCATAGAGAAAAAAAATGACTACTCCAACAGATATCATGGATAATGCCAAAGTATATTTTAAACTCTCTCTTCATCTCTCTCTGTCTCTGTCTGTCTCTGTCTCTGTCTCTCTCTCTGTCACACTCTGTCTCTCTCATCTCTTAGATACATGTACCCAGTTAAGTTTTCCTTAATGGGAGGCGATATATTACATTATTTGATTTGCTTTACCTGTTCACAGCACCTCCTATACTAACAAATAAATAATGCAATCATGATGGTATTGTTTTACTATTGTTACTCCTATCTGATTAATAAAGAGGGAAATCATACTGAGTGAAATGGTAAGGGATAGGGACTACTTGCTTAGAATGAAAACCTTGTTCCAGAATTGCACCGTATTTTTCTGTGTCAGTACTCACTGGATGCTGAAACACTAGTCTAATTGATTATTTCAAATTAACATATTGGTGAGGGATTTTTTTCACATTTAGGAATGTCTACTTAGTCATAGGGAGGTAAAATAGAACAAAGAAATTCAGAGTACATGCTTGCGAGCAAAAAAGGACTAGGTTTACTTTGTGTATTCAAGTATTTTTTCTGTTACTTAACTGTTTTATGGTCTTAAACAAGTTACTTTACCTTGTTAAGCCTCAAAATTCTTATGTTTAAATAGAATTAATACTATGACTCGTGTGATATTTATGTAAAATAGTAAGATAACACATATTAAGTGTTTAGCAAATGGCTGACGCATAGCCTTGAAAATACATCCATTAAAATCGTTACTCTGTAGTGATCACCACTAGACATAACAACAGCTCTAAACATGCAACTAAAGCTTGAATGTACACATACTACTGCAATGGATTTTATTTAATGGGGGATGAGAAAAACTAAAAGAAGATGTTTTCCAAGAAGAAAAATAATGAGCCCCTATATTATAAATGAACTTTTTCTTCTCTGCAGCTCTCCCTGCTGAGGTCTAAATTAAAGGGGCTGATGCAGGATCTGGGATTGCTTCCAGATTTTTCTCTTAAAAAAGATCTTCCCTCATTCAAGGTTGGCTGTTTCTTTCTCTGGGATTCTTTGGTGGGAAAACCTTGTACTCATAGTTAAGCTCTTTAGGAACCATAAAGTCTGACCATGCAGTTTTCTCTGCACTTGTGAACTTGTGAACAGGAGAGTGCCGGGGCAGAAATAAACTGACAATGACTCAAGAAAATTGATTTAGCTTTTGTGTGGGCTGACAGCAACATAAACTCGAACTTCTGATGAAAGGCTCCAGGCTGAATACAACAACTGGATGCAGAAGTCGGAGGTTATTCCTCCTCCTGATGCCTTTTAGTATTTTTTTAAAAGAAAAAAGAATGAAAATTTTAGAGGAGGAGAAGTGAAACTGAAATTAATCTTTGGTCAATCATTTTAAAAGAGCATTTTTCTCACCTGAGTAATAATATCTCAGAAGCAGAGAAGGTTATGTGGGTTTCATTGCTTGAAAGATGCAAAACTTTGTAATAAAACCGTCTATCCAAGAGCTTAGACCAGTGACGTCAACATCTCCTGGAGCTTTCCAGAAATAAAGGTATGGGCATCTACTAGATTCCCAAATCAAAATCTATTTTTGAACAAGTTCTATAAGAGATTCATACAAATATTAAAATTTAAGGATTTCAGTCACATAATAGTGAGGTTGGTCACCTTTCATCTCAGCTGTGTTTTTGGTTTGCATGTGTGTGAATGCGCAGCCTAATGCCCTTTTTAAAACTGCAGATTCCATGGTTCCTGCCCCATCTCTTAATGCGAATCTGTGTTGTAAATTAAATTATTCACTTATATTTTCAGTATATAGTTGTATGCATAATTGGAATTTAGGTATTATTATAAATATAAGCTCAACTTCAACTCAGTAAAATTGATTTCCTTTAAGAATAAAAGAAGCTCGTAAAACAAAATTATTGGATAGAAATTGTTCAATAAAAGTTTGCTTACAATCACATAGAAGAGTCTCAGTATCTTAATTTGATACCTATTTTAAATGTTCGCCAAGCTGAAGGTTAATTATGTGCATGGAATTTTGCGTTTTCATCTAGGTATTTTATATTCCCATAGATGTAAAAAAGCTCTATGCATATTGGGGGAAAACCTAGTTATTGCACTCTGCCACGAGAGTAAAACAACAAATAATTGCATGAGAAATAGAAATCTTGCATTTTTTCACTGATGTATCTTTAATAACATTGAACGAAAAGTATCAAAAAAAAAAAAAAATACAGGTTGTAGCATAAGTATGCCAAGTTGGAGACCAGTCTGGACAACTGAGCAAGACCTTGTCTCAAAATGAAAAATAAAAATAAAGAGTTGGAGACATAGCTCATTGGTAGAGTGTTCTCATATTTAATCTCCAGGACCACAAATACAAGTAAGGTAGTTGAATTAAAAAGTAAAGAAAAGCTCATTATCTATGCTTAAAGTACTTTTAAATCAGAGATGTTTCACTTTTTAATAACATTAATTTTACTAATATTTTGGATACAGTTTTGGTTAACATATTTTAGATATGCAATGAATCATATTTATATATCAAAAAATCAAGTACATGTCGCAAAATTATGGTAATAGATTCACAGAAGATACAAGGGTATTCATAACAATTTCATTAATAGTGGCCAAGAACTGCAAACAATACAAATGTCCTCCAATAAGAACTGAATTAGTACATTGTGATTTAAAAATATGTACATGCCATAAAATAATACTTTATATCTGTCCATTAAAAATTGTTGTATATTGGATTTTTTTCTTTGTTAATATTACCTTTAAACTGTTTATACCCACTTCTTTTTTTTCTCCAGGTTTTGATTTTTTGAAACAGGGTCTCACTAGGTAGCCCTGGTTAGACTTCATTTCCCTATGTAGCACAGGCTGGTCTTGAACTCACAGTGATCCTCCTGCCTCAGCCTCCCAAGTGCTGGGATTACAAGTATGCAACACCATGCACAGTATCATATATAAGGAGTGGAAATATATACACATTTTTTATACCTCATAAATCTCTATTACTTCTTTAGCCACACTCACTTTGATTCTCCTGCTCCCTAGTAATTGCATCAGGCTGTAGAGTCCAAGGGCAACCCC